ACGTGTGCTCTTCCGATCTCCCCAAAACCCCAAAACCCCATGATTCTTAATATTTGTTGAATAGAATCGAGATATTAATAAATAAGCATATTCAACTGTGATAAATGAGTACCTGTACATTTGGAAATAGTGCTCTAAGAGTTGCTTCATCATTTTAGGTTACTTTATTGCATCCATTAATATCAAAAGTTTCGAGAGTATATTTCATTGGAGTGGCAACTAGACTATCAATTGATGCATCTAAATTAAATTCTAAAGAAGTGATTAGAAATTTACTTGTTATTTCAACTAATCCATAAAGACTGAGCAAATTTAGCTATGTCAAATAAACTGAAATTCCTTCGACAACAGCTTTATCTGTTAAACTTACACACCATGTCTATTTTTATTATTAAAGTAAATATTACCAAGTTCAAATAAGTTAGTAAAGGGAAATTTTGAGATAACTGAATCACTGAACTATCAGATAAGTATTTGCATCCACATAAGTCCAAAAACTTCAATTTATGATATTCTACATTTGATCATAATAGTATGAATTACATACAGGAAACTGATAAATTTTAAAAGCCTTGATCCTTAATTTCAGCATTTGCGTATAAATTCAAATATTCCAAGTCTTTAAGATTAGCTATATCTTCAAATGATTTTTCTGAAAGCTTTGGAATTCTTGTTAGATTCTTTATCATAAAATTCAAGATACAGTTTAATTCTTACAAAATGGTAAATGTTAGGGCAATTTTATGCAAATGTCATAATTGATGAATCAGATAGATATTTGCATCCACTCAAATTGACATAGGATAACTTAGGGTTCATTATTGCCAGTTTCTTCAATCCAAAATCAGTTATCCTGCAATTCCAGTATAATTCTAAATTCATGATTAATTTTTAAGTTTTAACATACCAAGTCTCTCAAGATTTTTGCACTGCTTTTACAAATGCATGCAAGCTTTCTCTGAAATTTCACGGCAACCATTTAGGTTTAGCTCAATTAAAGTCTATGGAAATAATGTCACTTCTATGTGCTCATCAGTAACTGTTGAAAACTCAAAATCTAGAGCTTTTAAATTTGCACCCAGATATTTGCAAATTCTTCTCACTAAATGCTCTAGAACAATGGATAAAATAATGAATTACTTGATACTTGACTAAAATCTCGATGTATTATTCTTTATATCAATCCATCTTGAAGTGAATTCCTCATGATTATGTTACAATTTTTATTAAGAAACAAGAACTTCATATAAAGACTAAGTGATGGCTCAAAATCATAAAGAGTCAAGAGAATTTTCTCATTTAGATTTTATGTTTTATCAGATTGTTCCATGATTTGTAATATTAAAATTTAATAATAAAATTACAAATTCAAATATAATGGTGGAACCAATTTAAGATTTAGTCTTGAAACCCCAACTCTGTATTTAAAATTCCTAGCAATAATTCTCTATGAATTCAAAGTATATGTATTTGGGCTCAGATACAACGGAGAGATCATCTAAAATCTTAAAGATCTTCTAGTGGAAAATGTCTAATTGGGGTAATTAACTCAGAACTTAAGTAACTATCTTCCTTATTTAAAACAGAGTCTAATTTATTAGGAAATTGATGTTGAAACTCAAATGAGCTAAATAAATTAAATGATAATATCCTCATTTGATGATATGATTATTAATACTAATGGAATTGAAGAGTCTTAAGATCTCAATCAATTCCCTAATGTTAGAGAGAGAACGATTGCATATTTCATTGATTAAAATTATAAGTTGTTTGAATGGATCTCTGATAAAAAGAACATTATAACTTAGATTGACATCAATCTATCAAAAGAAGCAAAGCTTCTAGCAATTCACCCAAATAATTTGTAAAAGCTAATGTATTCAAATTTCATATAGATTTTTTGCTTTGCAAGACAACAGTAAATTGCTGATTATCTAGACATTTGATAAGCAAGTTGTTTCATACATTAGTCATGAAATGAAAATTGATAAATTCTTCTTTGAATTAGAAAAAATGAATTGCTTTGTCTTTGATTTTCAACAACAAATGACTATATATAGTCAAAATACTCAATAGAAAATTATGCAGAAGAAGATCTGCTAGATTGACTCAGTATAAAGCTTAACTTACTGCTATACAAATTAAATGATATACTTTTTCAATAGCCAGAATTCCACATTAGTTTAATTATCAAGCTAAGATTTTGAATAAAAACTTGTTATTGACATTAACCAATAGATAGAAAGATACACTGAAAATAACAATTAATCAAACTTCATCATAAAAAATGTTTATCAAATCATGTATCTAGCTCAGGATGACACAATCATACTATCTACTTAAAGCTAAATTATAATGATAAGCTAGTACTATGAGACAATAGTGAAAATCATTTATCTGGAGAGAGTTACAAATAAAAGCCTATTTTTCACTTTAAAGAGCACTCTTTATCAAGCCTCTTTTACCTAATATGCGAAAGAGCTAAACATTTATAAGATTATAGAATTCGAGGGTGTTTAGTCAGAGATTGGTGGCTAGCAATACAACAATTTTATTGCAGATATGAAAGAACTTAGTGAAAAAGATGAGCTAGAGAGAAATAATGATGAGGAGGATGAAGAAGTAGACGATAATGTAGATATTATTAATGAATTTGCTAAATAGTATGAGAATAATCCAACTCCATAATTCAATTAACAGATTGAAGAATAGAAAAAGGATGCATTTTCAGTAATTGATGAATAAGAATACGAGGATGAGGAAGAAAACTAAGATCAGTTTTAACAATCATTCAAAAATACAACAATATATACTGATATCGCAAAATAGATTGAATAGAGTGCTAGGGGTGGTGTTAATGATAATGAAGGATTATCCTGTCTGAATAGCTTTGTTGCTCATCCAAAGAGCTTATTCGTCCTTGCAAACTAAAAGATAGACAATGAATCAATATATGATCATTCAGACAATTACAATAAAACTAGATTTTCATCAAATTTGCCTTAAAAATTCTCTAAAGCAAGTAAGTAATAACGTATTTAATTCTATATTAGATTTACCAGTCACATTTCATAAAAAAATTAAGTCATCTGGATATAGTGGCTAACCTTCTTCAATGAAATACTCTAAAACCTAGAAATAAAAAGCCTAATAGCCTTAATCTTAATATGCTGTAACTAGAAATTTCTATGCTAAAACCTTGCCAATGACGATCCCAGAAGAATTGAAAATTTTAGCCGAGCAGCCCTTGCACAAGAATGCAACTGTTAGACTAGCATATAGTCCTTTTGGAACTAAATTGGCTTGCATATCTTAAGACACCACTATATCTGTACTTAAGACTCCTATGTTCCAAAATAAACTAGATTTAACAAGCTTAGGAGGTCATAATGGCCCTGTAAACTCAATTCATTTTAGTGCCAATGACCAGTATTTGATCTCAGCATCAGCTGATAAAAGTTGTATCATTTGGAATATGAAATGGTCTAAAAAAGGAGAGAAGTTATTAATTCTAGATAGACTGAAAAAAAATAAAACTTCATCTGAAAACCCTCAAAATTAAGCTCTATTATAACAATAAAACCCTCCTTTCACAGACGCAATAAGAGGTGCATAGTTTTACTATGACGATAAATTATTAACTATTTCAACAGGAAATTAATTACTTTTCTATTAGTATGAACTTCCTGATAATCCAGATTCTTCAACTTCCAAAGATGATGTCAAGAGATTATAATAAAAAGGCTTGTATAAGCTGATACAAACATATTAGCATCCTAGTGCTCAGAATATTCCTTCATTTCATTTTCATAATCATAAGTTGAAAACAAATATTGGACTGATAGGTGGATCAAACAAAGAATTGATAGTATATGATGCAAATTATAATAAAGCAATAGCAACAATGAATGATGGCCATCAAAAGCATATTCATACTGTTAAGTTTTATGAGGGAACTTATGGAGATTAAGAAGCATACAATACATTTTTGACAGCTAGTACAGACAATTTCATCAAGCTATGGGATCTTAGAGTAGGTCAACCAGTTAGAGAATATGGAGGGTATCATCAAAATAGAGCTATATAAATTGGATTTAGCATATCAAACTGCTTTAGATATCTAATATCAGGTTCAGAAGATAGATCTGTTTACATATATGACATTGGGAGTGGAGAATTATTAGATAGAACTAAAAACAGCTAGCACACAGATTCAGTCACAGATGTTGCAGTAAATCCTGTTTATTATGAATGGGCTACTTCTTGCATTGATGGTCATGTCAGAATCTTTAGATATCCAGCTCACAAAGTAGCCTAGAAGCCTAAGCCAAAGAATGGAGGAGGAGGAATTCAAGTTAAGGGTAAAAAGGCAGTTATAAGTTCTGCATAGTAGCAATCAATGAGGGAATATGACTGAATGTTCCTGGTTACTTAATACAATTAAAAAATATGTGCGTATAATCTTGATGGTTTCAAAGAAGTTATGAAATTAAAATTATGTTGAAAATTAAAAACTAACTTGTAACTATCTAAGTTTTAACTCACTTGATTTCTTGATCTTGATTAGTCGGGTCTCTATAGTTAAGTACATTTCTAAGTCTATTTTACCCGTTACCAGAAAGCTGCGAATCATTTCTTTATACTTAAGCTTCGTCTACAAATTGCTGATAATTATTGTTATTTCTTTATGGTCCATCTACTTCTCTTTGCTATTCATTGTCCTAATTTTAGTATCGTTATTAAAGAGCACCTTACCTGGGACTATATTCATCTTCAGACCTACTCTATAAGCCAATAAGGTTCTTAAGGAAAAAGTAAAACAGACATCCACATGAAGATATAATGGTGACAGTTGTAGCCAAGAGTAATAGTGTACTCAAAAAGAAGTAAAACTGAGCATCTCTATCTCTCTTAGGTATTTTTAGGTATTTTAATGGCAGTGAGTCAGATTTCTCATAAGCATCCTCTCTCTTTGCATATTTTTCATATTATTAAGTCTAATTCGTAGATTTTCTAGCTGAGGGGTTAGATGCTGTATATGCTTTGGGAATAACGATACCACTAGTCACTGCTTTCTCTTCCTAAACTTTTGGTTTTATATGTACAACTTTATTTGGATCGATTCTAGCACCTTAGTCCATAGGTTCTTTGTAAGCCACATGCGTTTTAGTTGAATTCAAACCATCATGTTTTAAAATATCATCCAAATCGTCATAGGTTTTACCTCTTGCATCAATTTATGAGTAAAGATAAATGAAAAGCATAATGGTGCAAGTGGGTTTAAAGACTTTCATATTTGAAATTATTTTAGAGTTATATTTTTTGTTTAACAGTATTTACATCTTATTCATGGTTGGGGTTTTGGGGTTTTGGGGTTTTGGGGTTTTGGGG